AGAAATAATTTAATTATTTAAATTGGATTAAGAGCCTTTAGGTCCAAGGCAGTCAAAAAACTTACCTGTGAAAGTTTAATTTTTTTTTCAAGGGTTTTCAAGAAAATCAAATTTCTCGAAATGCTCCAAATACCGTCAATTTGCATGATTGGAAAAATTGTTTAAGTGAAAATCAATCAAAAAACTTACATGTCAAGCTTTTCGGTCGATGTTTTGTTAGAAGATGACGAAATCTTGCATGTTGCATGTAAAATTTTTATTTTTTGTCGAAAAATTCTTAAGGATGCAACGTCGACGTTTTTGAACAAAATCAAATCTTCGCAAATGCCCCAAACATGATAAATTTGCATAATTTGCATGATGTGCATTTGGTGGAGAATCATAAACTTTTTTCAGTTAACCGAGAGAACATTTAAAAAGTTTGAAAGTAAAGTCGCACTCTTTGGCTTATTGAACTGAATTCAAGTAAAAAATAATCAGTTGAGCAACAATCTACAGGGCGTTTGAGTCATAAGTTTTACATTGACGTTGTCAGGAACGACATTTCCATAAGAGTGAACAGCTCCAACAACAAACAAATAATAAACAACCATAGAAACGAGTGGGTGTCATCGCATTGCAATTAATGACGTTTTCTTTTGCGTTTGCGCTTTAATATTAACTAAGAGTTTCAGTGCCTGAATAATTAAGAAATTGTTTGATAAGCAATCTAACCGAGAAAATAGTGCTAAAATTGCGAGAAAGAGTTTTGATAAATTTATTAAAAAAAAATTTCGTAATTTTTTATAGGGATCTAAGTCGGGCGGGCGAGTCCATTGTTTGTCAAATCCCATGTTTGTTAAACAGATACGTCATTGCATGTGACACAAGGCAAATTAGTAACAATAAAATCGACGATGAACAAAGTCATTAAGAAACCGACTAAAGTAGTTTTATCATCAAAACGTGATCGTGTTCTAGATAAAACGATTTTTCAAAATTACATGACACGGTCCTGCCTCTCACGTGACGTCACATTCACGTGGTTTTGTTTGTGAATGTGTCTCGACGCACACACCTCTCATTTGTCGGGAATGTATTAAAATACATTGTTAATAATAGCACAGTCACACATACAGGTCGCTTATCTAAAGCTGTGGAATTTACGACCACGTCGAACGGAATACCAATTTGCTCAATCTTGCGGTGGAAATTAATATAAATGTTTTTAAAAAATCCGGCTTAATTGAGGGCTGGACTATGGTCAGCTTATTCACTCTGTTCTATGCAATAGACAGCGATAGAGCCAGGAGGGTTCAGTGCAACATAGAGATAATTTGCAACAGTCACTTGGTGATTGATTCTAAAGGCAGGACCGAACGGAGCTCGGCGATTGGCTGCCAGTATGGGTGTGACCGACATGGGGTGACGTCACGGATCTAGGCGAACGGACAGGTTATGCAATTGAAAAAGCTTATTTTAGTTGACAAAATAATTAAATCGGCCTTAACATTGAACGTTCCTTTTCGATGATCGGGCAGTTTGGGTTTTTTTGCACTGGTTCTAATCTTGCTGCTGTGAATAAAGTCAATTTCCTCAAAACATGTCAACCCGCCCACTCAAAGGAGCTGGAAGATCTAATTTCGGCATACGACGAGTGCTAGGAAAAAAACGTGCTGATTGCATAATATGAGATAAACAGCCAGTTAATCCTTTCAACACACCAATCAAGGCTTTTTAATGCAGTTAGAGAGTTGTTGCTTAAAACATGAATATTACTTATTTGCTTATTAGTTAGTAATTTCTAACCGCAATTTTTCGTAGCGAATTAAACATGTTGGCTGATGAAAGACTTTCTTATCCCGAATAAATAACACTAACAATATACGGGGTGTGCCATTTGAAAAAGTCAGATTTTTGTTCGTGAAAATACGCTGATATGGACGGTGATTACAACCACCCTGTAGTTTCAAAGACAAATATTTTGCAAACCAAGTACTAATATAGCAATAGATATTTCTTCTGCCCAATTTCAAAATTTTGTGTCAAAGCAACGGGAAAATTTTGGATTTCTAAACGACATGAAAGTGCGAATTTTCACTGTTTAAACCGAATAACTAAAAAACTGTTGAATTAATTAACAAATTAAATAGGCTAAAAATGCAAGAGGCGAGAAAGTTTCTAAATCGATGTAAGAATTCAATCGATATATCGAGTTAAATAGTGAACGACCGACTTTGGAGCAGTTAAAGGAACGCAAATCTTAAAAAAATAGCACCCTGTACATTCCGACAATCGTTTAACACCGACTCGAAAATTTTCGTAAATACCTCAAAAACTACTTAAGTTAGAACCAAAATGCACAATTGACAACACTTTTAATACCAACTCCCAGTATCTAGGAACAGAAGCTTTTGAGGACAAATGTGTATATCAACGTTTCGACTTATTTTTGTGAGTTCGATCGCACCTTTAATTTTGCCAATTGAAATTTGAATCACATCATGAGAGTTGRTAAAGAAATAAAATCTTCAGAAAGTCTCCCAAAGGGATTTATGAAAATAAATAACTAAAAAGTACTGATCGCAGTTGACGTTATTTAAAAATGAATAATAATTTGAAAAATATTCTGTATATTGAAAAAATCCATGGCACTTTCCCTTAATCGAGATGTAACTTTTAATTCTGCCTTGATGACTACTGAAGCTTGTAAAAAAAATTTTAAAAGATCTTTTTTAATAAACTGTATTAAACAACGAAGTAAGACGCGTAATCAACTATTGCTCAAAAGGTAAATTGGTCAAAAAACTTGCACTGAATTCGCTTGAAGACAAGTTGGCAAAACTAAATGAAGAAGAAACAAGGAACTTTGAAGAAGAAACAAAGAACCCAAGACAAAAGACAATCAATAATGTGTCCAAACACTCTGTTAGTGTACCAAAATTTTATTTTAAAACACTGGCAAAAACACGATCCAGAATTATGAATACAATATTAGTTAGTACCTTGGCCTTCTAAATTTAGTCAGACAATGCAAAGTACAACGGGTACGTTGACGCCGATAACAATGCCGATTGTAAAAACAATGTTATATATTCAGGTGATGACCGAGCAATAAACGTGAAATGCGATTACATAAACGATAGACTGCATTCACCCAGAAACCCATTCAATGCATGTGCCAAAATAGGTAAACTGTGTCAACATCAATCAACAAATTACACATTTAGTAGCGTACAAGTGCAACTAAGAATGTTGACTGACTGAATGCTACAAATCTCTATGTGAATATTTTTTAACAATCTTGGAATAAATTTTGGAAACTAAAAACGCATGCAACGAAGAAAATCAATCATCTATCAAACACATAAATAACAAATAATTAATTACACCTGTTGAAAAACAACATATCATAGTGGAAATAAACGATCGTGCTTTGATTAATTAATCCACAATGGATCAATTTAAGTCAATTGAAGTCTACTGCGTGAATCAAGCAGATTCGAAGAAAACATCTTACCTTTAATTGTTTGCGATCGTGCCAACATCAATTCATAAAGTAATGAGTAAGTTAACTTCATTAACTGCATTCATAAAGGCATCACTAAATTAAAGTGTTTTCGGGTTTTTAACTGTTCAATTATATTATTCTCCTTTCATTCTGATGATAATTTTTCGCCAATTTTATTCAAATGACAGGCTTTTTTCACGCTTTACAACAATGGATTCGACGTCAATTATCAGTACATGCGAATGATTAATTAATAATCAACCTATATGTTTTGCAACAATCACATTTTTCAATGTTAAACCGCATTAACTGATTTTTTCGGATTACTTTAAAATGTATCTACCTATAGTCTGTCCCAAACTATTTGGCAGTGATGTCATTATTTGAGACGCCATATTGAAATTTACACATTTTTCCAAGATTTTCTTTCATATTGCGTGTATGTGAGTAAATTGTAATGATAATTTGGAAAATTCACTGAAACTGCCACCACTCGCCACAAAATAAAATAAAACATTTTAAAATTCTTTCATACTTCAGTAAATTGAAACAATTTTATGAATGAGATGTGTTAGTAAGATCAAGAAGAAACTAACGTGTTGCATATTAGAAATGACCCATGGTGCAAATAACGTTTCCTTATAACGGCACGTGTTTCGGCTCTGGTTTCGGCAGATAACCGCGTAAACACAACAGGTTTCCAAGACAACGAGCGTCTAATGCCCTTGGGATAAGATTCTTTGCGCCATCGACACTCTTTTTAACTTGGATTATTGTACTGAACGAGAAATTGTAGATTTCGTAAAAAATTTCGAAAACGTAGGTAAATTGAGTAAAATTAGACTGACAAAAAAAATGCCCGATAATACAGAACAGTTCTCAAGCTCACCGTTTTCGATATAATCCATATCTTTTGCAAACTTGCACTATGACAGGACCGTACATCGCTTAACATCTCCATTGAAAAATATCTAACCAAGTGAGACAGGAAATAAAAAAGCAGCCCTAAATTTAATAACCATCAATACAATAAAAAATGGCTACCCAGTCAATTTTTCTGCTTGTTATCAATCACAGGCGGGCTTAAAATCACGAACAAGATTAAGGTGTTTTATCAAAAATCAAGTTAGACACACCTTCTATCGGTGTTATTTTGGGCAATTCACGTGAGAACTTGCAAAAAAATACATTTAGATAATGCTGTGTGTACAGACAAAATTGCGCACATAGTAAATTTAGCAGCGACTTACGTAGGAAACGTCCGAAAATACGAAAAATTCACTTTCAGGGCAAGAAAAATTAAATCGCATGGCATTGAAGATAAAAAAAATAATTTGAGCGATCATTTAACACACTGTTTAACTGTTAGGATTTGCCTGAAAACTCCAGCACAGGATTTCACCGTTTTGGAATAGCCAGAAGAGACAATTTCAATGTTGAGCGCAAATTAGATAAATCCCATTCTCTTCAAAACCGTCCCCAAAAACTTAGATTTTTTGTTGCAACTTACCGAAGGAACTTCTCTTCGTGGTCTTGTAGTCAAATTCTCCGATGAATAAATGGGAACATCCAAGTCACTAACACTAGAGGAAATGCTGCCCTCTCTTCCAGGACTTGTGGGCACTTGAAGGAGCCTCATGGCCTGCTGTTCAGCCACCGTTGGACTTTTCAAGTAGTGACTTTCGGCCACAAAACCGACGCCATCGTCATCGTCACGATCCATATCGGCGAAAGGGATCGACATGGAGAACCAAACCTTTTTGGTCTCTTTGAAATTGTCCGTGTCGTAATAGAGCTAGTTGGCACTATGAGGAAAAAGGTTCGACCTCTGAAACAAAAAAGTACCAATTAAAATGCTGAAAAACATCCAAATTTCCTATTGTCTATACAGGCCGATTAACGCTTGATCTGGAGTACTTTCCAATGCACCTACATTGAATTTAAGATACTTGGCACTAACGCAAAGCGTTCTTCTGTGCAATCTTTTGCTTCTAAACTCGACTTTACTTCCGAAAAGTGGCTCATTTTCGGTTAGTTAATCCCATTTATGCGCGTCAGTAAGTTTACAACTATCAAACACTAAGCGCTAATTTCAGGATTAAACAATCTGTAAACGTACTTTTTGAGTAATGCGGTTTAGAGGCAAAACTGCTGCGATTTTTTGGCAACGATTCCGAAAGGCCTTCAATCAGCCAGCAATTTGAAAATAACCGGGATGTTTTAAAATCCAAAAAATACTCGGCATTTTTCAAAGTATGCAAAAAACTTCAAAAGCGTTCAGTTCTTTCAAAGACAGAGGTCACAGATTTCTTGGCCATTGCTTGAAATTGCTGAGTTTTTCGGGCTGTTGGACCGTGGAGAAAAATAATTTTTCCGTCTTTTCGGTCGCCTGAAGCGCAAATTCAATCGCCAAAATTAAATATCACATAAAAGCATTTCCCAACCTTCCCGGGACTGAATAAACAAAAGCACATTTCCGCGTGCATGTTTATTCAATTTGCCAATAAAACTTTAGAGTGCGAGCGCCGAAATGAATATAAAATCAAAAGAAAAGTCCGAATGTTTCAAACATATATTTACCCCAGTCGTTGAATATATAGACGTAAATAAACGCACAAAACACTTTACAAGAGGACAAACACGCGAACAATTACGCAACAGAACAGGAAAGAATACCTGTTGCTCGATATACAGAACTAAGCAGCCGCGAGACACTGTTTTGTGCCCCTCGCCAAAAGCCAAAATGTGGATGCAAAAAAATCGGCGAAAAGTAGCCACCGACTTTTGGTCGAAAAACAACTGAAATGACCTCTGAAAGGCGAGATTTTGGTTGGCGTCGAAGTCGACGTCGGGACGTCCACGAGATCTAATTTATTTTTAAACCGCCGCGCTACGTCACAACAGACGCCCCTTTACTTTTTTTCGGCTCGCACCGTGTCAACACTGCATACCGCGCTGAAAGTGTAATAACTTTGTCATGAAATAATCGTTTAATAATAATCTCAAAAGTACCAGAACTTTATTTTACGGCCATAAAGATGTCCAGAACAGGGCTCCGTAGCCATTTTATAGCCACTGTGTAAATTAGCAAATAAGCCAATTCGCGCCTGTCCTAAATTGCATTCATACAACAGCATTCAAACAGCAAACAAAATATATATTTTTTCAAAAATACATATTTCAACTGTGCGGTAATAAGTTGGAATAACTTTGCGAAAAATTGGCAAAGCATGTACAGAAAAATATTTTTCAGGTCTTTAAAGCTACCGATTATGCAACATTCGGACCAAAAATCTGTGTTTTTTTGCATTTGCACGGAAAAATCAGTATCCAGTTCGGAATCTCTAGACAAAATGACAACCACCCTAAAGGCATAAAATATCCACTGCCTATTAATAGAAACTCATCAAAAGAAAACATACAAGTTTAGATCAGCTGGCAAGGGAGATTTTTGGAAAGCGTCGGATTTGTTAAGCGATTGATTAATGAGTTTTCAGTATTGTTTTGAAGTTCGTTTAAATCGGTATTCTAAAAATTGCTCTAGTACACAAGTGCGGTCATAAAAAATCAAATATATAAATTCCTACCGAATAGACGTCAAATCACAAAGGCGGCGGGAATGTTTCTATTAGCTAGAAAAAGAGCACAGTAGAATGACGTTGACCTCTTTTCTTCTTTCAGTACATACATTTGTGATGCTGCCTTGTTTCGATCATATTTTATCTACGGATCATTTATAGGATTTTTCGGTCGAGCGGTCGATATAAAATGAGAAATGAATGAAAAAAAAAAACAGCTAATAATTTCTATCCGTTTATTTAGATGATACAAATTGCAAATACAGAATAAATCTTAAATAACTTTCGAATGATCAATTAATTAAATGTGCCAACTTCGAACAGTTTCAGGCCACGGTTTCTTCTTTCCCGCAAAACGTTACAGGATCAAAGAGGAACACGTTATTAATGGGAACTTCCTTCTGCGAAACGGCCTTAATCACTTCTTGGGCAATCACGCCGCCCAGCACAGCACAAACTGGCACAACTTCGCCAAACACTAACTCAAATAGTACATCATTGAGTTTGTGATGATCAAAACCGTACAAATCCAGCACGGCAATTTTAATGTCTTGTAGCAGGGCGATGTCTTTTTCTTTGTGCTCGATGTCCGGATTGCGGTTTTGGCGATTTCGGAATTCCAGAAGAACTAAAAAAGAGCAAATATTTGGCAGAAATACAAAAAATAACCGTCAAAAGATTCGACTTTTTGAAACTTAGAAGAACTAATCGCACTACTTACTACGCCAATTACTGGCACTTAAAATAAACTTGTGATACTTACTGAGCATTAAAAAGAAATACTCGTTCCGCCGTTTCACTTTCTTGATATGATCCACGCTTTGCTTGGTGTTTGGTAAAATCAGTACTTTGTTGAGTTCAGGATATACAATTTGGCCCTTTACGTTGACTGTTTCCTTCTCTGGTTTGGTCTCAGTAGCATCGAGGACGCGCTTTTTGGATACCAATCTTAGTTGGTCCCTAAACACACAAGAGCTTAATTTGAGAGCTTCGAATAAAACTCTACCGCTCACTCGTAGTAGTCATGTTCTTGGAAATCTGAGACCGAATATCCAAAGGATCCAAAGACGTCCCCAAAAATCAGCTTAACATTATTGGCTCTGCATACTTTGTCGATTTTCATCAGCAAGTCTGTTTTGATTCGAGTAGCAATAATCATTGTAAACCCCTCAAAGAACTTTGGATCTTTTGTGGCGAGATCTGAGGTGTCTGCGCTGACTTTCACCAGGGGATTCAGTGCCTGAGCCTTGACCAGTACTGCATCAGCAATCTGCAAAACTCGAACTGTTTCAGACCTTTTGTGGCTTCAGATCAAGCCAGTACCTTCATCCCAATGCTGTCTTGGTTGATCAGAAAGTTTGTCTGCGGTTCCTCTTCGGTTACCTCCCCATCGTCTAGTATAACCAAAGAATTGATTCCCGATAGCATAATATTCTTGGCGATTTCTGATCCCAAGCCTCTGACGCCAATCAGAAGAATATTGGCGGCTCTGAGTCTGAAACAGACGCTGAAATGACTGGGAAATGCTCAACACAAAAACACACCTTTCTTGCGACTTGATGCCCCACAATCGAATCTGTCGGTCATATAATTCAGCTTCAACAGTGGAAAGCTGTTGCTCAGTCATTTTAATGGGGTTTTGGAAGGAAATCGGAGAAAACCGGTATAATGAACAACACAAATATGACCCTTGAATTAGGTTAGGTTGTGGCACGAAGTCACGGATCTAATGTGGTGAAGCCCTGGTTGCATACATTTGCATAGTACGTGGTACAGGACAGGAATCAGACTGATATTTTAATGGCCCACGGAGCAGGGCCGGATCCGAAAATTTGCAAGGGTAATGCTTTACGATGCGATCTGGTACTAGGATTGCCGCTTTGCCGATTAAGACTATGCTCACCTTATAGAAAATCTCGTAACAAACAATATTTTTCGTATCAATTTTTCGATTAAATGCCGTTTTCCACCACTTTTCGCCCTCTGAAATTCACCAATTTCCAAAACAAAACAACGGTCGCCATGATAGTTCAGCACTTTGCGCCGGCGTGCACATTTTTCGTGTAGTTGCCAGTACTTTCATTACCACTTCCTTAACCACCTACGCCATCAGTTTTGCTGAAACATTGAAGAATTTGAGAAATTTAAAGTTTTTTTTAATATAAAATAAATAGTAATTAGTAATACCCAGAGTTTTCACTACTTTTCCGATTCTCATGATAATTCCAATTAACTGATAAAGGCGTCCTTAACACGCGTTCATAGAAATCCATAGAGAAACCAAAGCTGAAAATACTTTATTTTATTTTCTTTGCATGCATACACAATTAATTTGATATTTCAAACGGCTGGCTGCAATCAGCAGGGTCCCGGCTAAATTACGCGCACAATCATATGTATGAGCTTATCAGTTTCGTCTACTATTACCTGTATGGACGTAATTCTGCTAAGTTTTCAACCTTTAATGAATTACTTTTTTGTTTTCATTGACATTTTCTACTTTCGTGGCAGTTCGGCAACATGGCTGACCAGTATGCAATGTTTGGCTGCGCGTACCCTGCGTGCAGGCATGTGCAACATAAACATATTTATAGATAAGTTCTATATTGTTGAGGCGGATTCATTTTTTGACAAACTTCTTTTTCGGTATTACGCTTCAAAAATTTTTGTCAGAATTTCCTCACGTCTTTTATTTCAGATTGATAAATAGTGCTCCTATTTCTCAATAAGAACGAATTATTTATCAAGAACTATCACCTAGAGGGTATCCTGCGACACACTTGGCTCAAGCTGTAATAGAAAATTCGAATTAGTAAAGAAATTAATTTGAAAAATTACCTTGACGTTTCGATAGCTATTTTCTGTTATCGTTATCAAAAGAACCTAAATGAACCTAAAAAAGAGTATGTTAATAAATTGTGTAACAATAGTAGGATAATACAGTATATTGTGGAAAAGAATTTTCAACTGATACTAATCGTAATAGACATGAAAAAGTGTCGTATGAAAATATGCTTATCAAAGTAATATATTTAAATGTTCGCAAAGATACTATATTTGGCTTAAATATTGTCACAAACTAACGCAGGCGAACCCAAAAAAAGAAAAAAACACTTACTAACCCAAACAAACCCAACTATTCGCATTTTCCACATTACAAAAAAGAGAAACAAACACAAACTGAAACAAACCAAAGCATTCGCATCGTCAACATCGCAAAAAAAAACAAATAAAAAAGTTTGGGGTTGAAGCAAAAGAAGCTTACTTAGCCCATATGAAGCCAGTGGGAAAACAAAAAAACATAAAAACATAAAAAATAACTGGGGATTCGATCCTCGCACTTTCTGGTTATTGGCCTGTCAATATGATGATTCAATCACATTACACCATTACACCGCCAACTCTATTCTTTTACTTTCTCTTTACAGTCGCTAATTTTCTAGTTTAAAGTCAGATTTTCGGGTCCTTCAATCCTTCGAGAGACAATTCCAACAAATAGAACACTTTTTCCAAAGCAAACCGGTTTATTTAAAAGTTTAATTGCAATAAATACGGCTTTACTGACAGGTGATTTCAAAGTTGATGTGTTTATATTTACTCGTTGCCATGGTACATGTCTTGTATTCAAAGAGTCGACAAACGATTGGTCGATCAGGTTTATGTGTATCCGGAAAAGCACGTCACCAGGGACGGATTCTAGGCAACGAATGTTGTTGATTTTTTCGAAAGTGGAAAAGTACTGATTTTATGCGGAAATCTTCTTTGTGGACGAAATGAATTATTGACGACTGGGTGTGAGTGAAATTTAGAATTTTGGCCGAAATTTTTCCAAGGGATGGGGTCGATTTCTCACGGACGCGAGCAATGCATCGAACTCAAGTTTCAGATCTGAAATAATAGACATTTTCGGCACATTTTAAGCATTTTTTGAGCGTTCGCGATCTAAAGCCGAGGATTTCTTCCTCAATTGTGATCCAAACACTTAAAAAATGCATAATTCTGAACTTCTTACGTCGAAAGGAACCGTTTGAGCTCAAACTCATGGTAACACGGTCATCCTGCGAGGAAGCATCCACGCGATTTCTTTGTTTACCATTCCTGATTGTTTACCTATAAAATATCAGGAGGCAGGATTTTCAATCTAAACCAGCTTATCTTTATTATTATTATCATTTAAATGGGATTTCCATTATAAATACTACAACAATTACCAGTGGGATTGCCGCTAATTGTTAACAACAAATTCAATTGGGATTGCTACTAATTTGTTAACAGCAAATTTCAGTGGGATTGCCACTTGTTTTTACAAACAGTTGGATTGCCACTAATATTTGCTGGGTGCTGAAAGGTCATCAGGTTGGGTGGAGTTTGAGTCAAATTTGAAGAAGCTTCGGTACAACACGAGGTGCCTCACAGCAGGACCAAGGAAGTCAATACCACCACTGTGGATCGTAAGGAAAAAGCTGAGCTCTTTGCCAGGAAAACCTGGTTGATCACCCAGAACAAGAGAAGATAGTCAATGAGCTGGTAGCCGCTTACTTTGAAAACTGGCAGCCTACCAAAGCCAGAAGAGTCACCAAGGAGATCATCCCGGACATAATAATCGGCTATAATGGTATTGGGACTTAAAAAAGGGAAGAACAGGAAGC